TATAGATTTTTTTATATTTTTGAAATATTTGACATGAATTTTGCATTTTATTTTCTTTCTATTTAATGAATTTTATAAAAATTTTTTTATAATAAATACATCATAAATTATAATTACTTTTTTGGATTTTTTTAATTTTTTATATTATTGTCATTTTTTATATTATATACCAACGGATAGATAAAATGCATATATATTATATATTAATATTCTAATTATTCACTGATGTTATAAATCTTTATTTTTGTTTAAATACGTGAAAATTCATCCAGAATTTTGCCGTGCACCAACAATGCACTTTATTTTATTTTTTAATTTTAAAATTTACGCCAATTCAGTCGGGTTTTTGATCCTAAATAAAATTTAACTGGATTGTCTTTAAACAAATATTTTTGATATTTTTGAAATATATTGTCTGGGTATCTTACAATATATATATATATATATATATATATATATATATATATATATATATATATATGAAGCAGTAGAGCCCAATTTTGCCCAAAATATGTAACAGTAAATTTTAGATCAAGTATCAACCATCATAAAGACTGAAAAAATAAAATTGACAAAGATTATTGTTTAAGGTTGACGGACACGCATGTCTTAATTTTTTTTTTTTTTTTTTTTTTTTTTTTGGTCAAACCCAAACTCAAACAAAAATTGTTTTCAATTGTTATGAGTCTATCGATTGAATAGAATTTTATTATAAACAATTGTCTTGTAAATGGAATTTTAAAGCATTCTGAATGTAAAAATAAAGAAAAAAAAGTGCAAGACAATAAGAAACACTACCTGCCAAAAAAAAAGTGAAGTTTTGTTGAAATCGGTTGAAAAATGTAGGAAATTCGATCCCATATATAAATGAACACACACACACACACACACACACAACAACAAACTGGGGTTTTATAATAAATAGTATAACTCGATATGAGTTGTCCCCCTTTCATTCTATGATGAATCTTAATCGTGTTTTTTCAAATTGATTTCATGCAAAAACAATTGTGTTTTTCCAATTTTTGGCACTGTTAAAACCACCGCAAGGTAATTTTATGTAGTCCTGTGAAGTTTTGTTGAAATCGGTTGAAAAATGTAGGAAATCCAATATATCCAATATATAAACACACACACACACACACACAAAATCTGCGTTTTATTTATAATAAAAAGATTTTTATAATATTTCCAATAATTAAATACTTTTCGTATTTTTCTAAACTATATTTAATTTTGTTGATTTGGATTTTTTTAATCGCTAAAATATCTGATTTTGGTTTTCCTCAACTAAAACACATATATAATATTTTCTTTTTTGATAAATATTTCAAAAATAAAAAAATAAATTTTAAAATTCATTATTTGAATAACAAATATTTTTTATTTAAAAAAAAATTAATCTCATTCTGAAATAAACGTTATTTTTTTTTTTTTGTATAAAATATCGCAGAAATGCATTTTTTTGCAATTAAATAGATATTTTTTGAGATGTTGTCGGTCTTGAAACATATCTATAATAATTAAATTTTAATGAATATTTCAAAAAAAAATTTTTTTTAAATTTTTTTAACTATATATTCATCTTAAAAAAAAAAAATTCTTTGTAATCTAATGTTTTATTGATTTTTTTTATCAATTTTGTTTTATATTTATTATTATATTATTCTTTTTTAACTTTATTTACAATTTTTCTTTTTTCATAAATATTAAATTCTTTACAATTCAGATGAAAAAATTTTTTTTAATTTTGAATTATTTTCAAAAAAAATTATATGCCAAATATGTCCGTGTTTAAAAAATCGACATAATCAATTAATAAATTTCATACAACACAAACACACACACAAAACACAAGACACACAAACACAATATTACACAAATCAAAAAAAAAATAAAATATATTATCAATAAAATATTGTAGAAAATTTATATTTATGATTTAAATATATAATTTTTATTTACTACTTATCATTAAATTAAAAAATTTTAAAATTTAAAAAAAAATTTTTTTTTTATAAAATATTCTAAAAAAAATTTAATAAAAAATGAAGGCAATTCTTGTAAAATCAAATCATACATGAATATTTTTATTTCTATAAATATTTTGTCCATTATAAAATTTATAGCATAAAAAAAATAATTAAAAGCTTTTCAATTAAATAATGTCTTCGTTTTTGATGCATTTTTTTTTTTTTTCAAAGTTTTTTTTTTTAACTAATTTGGTCCTTTTTTATAAAAAGAAATTGATGATTTAAATTCTCCAATATAAATTTTTTTTTTAATAATATAAACATTAACCGAGACAAAATTTTAATTTTAAATATTTAATAAAATTTTATAATAAAAACAGGTTTAATATTTTACCAATTTTTTTTTATACAATATAATTTTGAAAAAATATATATTTTTTTTTTTTAAATTAAAAAGAGACCTTTAACATTTATTATATTTAATCTTTTGCCTTGTCCCAACGATGAATTCTGAAAAATAAGAAATTTTTAACTGAAAATTCTCATTCTAAAAAAAAATTTAATATATATTAAAATTCTTTAAAATAAAATAAAAATTTTACATCACGTTAAAATTTTAAAATTTTCTTTATATATTTTTTTTATTATGATTGCTTTATTTTGAATCTTTTTTTAATGAAAATATTTTTTATGATTTTTTAAAATCATATTATAAATTAAATATTTAAAATATGGTTTCATTAACATTATTATAATAATTATATTTTAAATAAATAAAAAATAAAAATCTATTTCAAATTATAATTTATATCATTTAAATTGTATAATTATTTAAATTTTTATCATTTTTTGGACTATTTTAAAATCTTAAAGATTTAAAATTTTACTGATTCTTTTAAAAAATGCCAAAATTTAAATTTAACAATTTTTTAAAAATTGTTTTATTTGTATATTATAAACCATATTTAAATCAAATTATTTTAATATTTATTTTCTTAAATTTAATTTTTATTTTTTAAATTTTTTTAAAAATCAAAAATAAAAATATCAATAAGAACAAACAAATATATATATTAACATTTTTTTAATCTTTTATTATAATAGTACACATACACATACACACACACACACACACAAACACACACACACATTAATATATATATATATATATTCATTTTTCTATATAAATATATAATCAAGGTTTTTTTTTTAATTATTTTTTCTAAAATAAATTTACATGGATCTTTTCTTGTTCTTTATTTTGTTTTAATTCCCAAAAAAAAAAAAATTATTAATTTTTTTAATTTTATAATAAAATGCAAAATTTAAATTTTGTCGAATTTATTACATTTTGATAAAAAAAAGGTGCATAATTTGGGCAAACTGTCTTTTATTATATATATATATATATATATATATATATATATATATATATATATATATATATGAATTTATTTTAATAGATAAAAAATAGGAAGGAACTGGTTAATTAAAAATTCTTCCAAAGTCCCTTAGTATTTTTGTTTATTTTTTTTTAAAATAGTGATTCATAAAAGGTCAATATAAATATAATTTTTTATTTAAAATATATGATTCCAATTTCACATAATAAAATTCTCATTTATGTTTTCGGTTCTTGTTTTGAAACATATACCTCTTATGTATAATTTAATCATATTTTTATTATATATTTAATATTTATATATATATATATATATATATATATATATATATATATATATATATATATATTAGATTTTTTTCGATATAAATATTTGTTTAAACCCAAAGTCATAAAACTCACATCTATCCAACCAAATATGTTAGCTCTATCTCTGATATTGAGCGCTTTCTAATAAGTACCTTTTTTATAATATATAAATAATTATACATATATATATTTATTTATATTTATATTTTATTTTCATATATATATATATATATATATATATATATATGTAAAAAAATATTTTTTTCAAAATCTTTTTAGTTTGTCGTCTTTCGTCCTTTTAAATGGAAAAACATACATTGATAAATTCACGAGAGGACGAAAAACTTGACAATAAATTCATTTTCCGTTTGTCCTTCTTCATATTTCCTTTATACGTATATATTTTAATTATATTTGAATTTATATTCTATTTTTTTATATATTAAAAAAGAAAAAATTTGGAGAAATTCTGGAAACAAGTAAAAAAAAATAAGTATAGATATATATATATATATATATTATAATTTAACCTTGGATATAAGAGACCCGGATATAAGAGAAACCCGGATATAATTTAGAGATTTTATTTGGTCCCAAATTAGAGCCTGTGTTAATGTATAAAAAATAGACTTTCACCTGGGTATAAAAAAAATGGATATAACTCTTTATATCCGGGTTTATTTTATATATATTAATAAATTCCCAAGAGGATAGAATCCAGGTAGCCTTTTATATTATGTGTATATGTGTGTGTGTTAGTTGTTTGTGTGTGTGTGTGTGTGTGTGTGTGTGTGTGTGTGTGTGTCCTTGAAAAAGGTTTTTTGTTTCTTTAGGCTGTAATCAAAGTTTTAGTTTTTTGCTCGTTGCTGTATATCCAAAGAGTAATTTGGGGGAATAGGATATTAAAAGCTTTGATATATATTATTTCTAAAAATTGTTTTATAAAATTTCGAAAACTGCAGCCAGGCCTGTCTACCTTAGACCATTCTATTAGTTCTTCCACCGTTTTTTTTAACGTGCTACAATTTTTTCTATGGATAATAGCATAGATTTCCTCTTAAAATCGATTCATATTTTTATATTTGTTTCTATCATTAACGTTTAAATATGTTTTTTTTTCAGATTAAACAACCTGGAATGGAAGATGAAACTAACGACAAAATGTAAGGAGAGACGTTTATTGCCCACAGCTTAAAATATTCGCCACCTACGATTGTTGGGGTGCCATCTAACGGCCGTCTTCTCACCATATACAGGTTTTCCTTTTTATAATTCATTCAACCAAATAGATTATCAATAACAGTATTTTTCTTTAGATTTCTCTTTTACTTTTACATTTTCCTTTTGGTGACTTTTCTTTCTTTCTTTCTTTCTTTCTTTCTTTCTTTCTTTCTTTCTGTTATGAATGATTTCTTTCTTTCTTATAAAAATCCTTTATTTCAAATCAATTCTTACTTTTACTTTCATTCATTCATTCATTCATTCATTCATTCATTCTTTCTTTCTTTATTTGATATCGATTATTTTTCTTTATTTCTTTAGTCTTTCTTTATCCTTTCTTTCTTTCTTTTTTGTTATCGAGTTTTTCTTTTCAAAATTTCTTTTTTTTTTTTGAATTTTTTCTTTCTTTTCTTTTCTATCGGTTTTTTCTTCTTTTTCTTTCTTTTGTATAAATTTTTTTATATTTTTTTTTATATTTTTTCATTGTTTTTCTTTTAAAATCTATTTAAATGTTTTTTTTCTTTCTTTCTTTTTCAGCTTTTCTTTTTTCTTTCTTTTTTTTCATCTTTTTTAATTTTTTTTTTTCTTTTCTTTTCTTTTTTTTTCTTCATTGTCTCTTTTTTTTTTCTTTCTTTTTTCAAAATTTTTCTTTTTTTTTTATTATTTTCTATTATTAAAGTTTTCATACCTTCTTTCTTTAATTTTTTTGCAACGTCATTTCATGTAAATATTTTATTTTTTGAAATTTCTTTTTTTATTTCTTTCATTCTTTCGTTCTTTTACGTTCGTTTTTTTTTCTTTCTTTCGTTTTTTCTTTCGTCTTTCTTTTCAATCTTTTTTCTTTCTTTTTTGTTCTTTCTTTCTTTTTTTTAAGATTTTATATTTTTCTTTTTTTTTTTTAACATTTCTATTTTTCTTTTTTTCCATATAATATTTAAATTTTCAAAAATTTGATTTTTTTTCATTTTTTCTATATCTAAATATTTAAATAATTCTTTTTTATTTTATTTTTAATTTCCTTCTTTCATTTTTTTCTCAGTATCTCTTTCTTTAATATTATAATCAATTTTTATTTTTAACCTATACAATTTTTTTTTTCTCTCAAATTGTATTTTAAAAATTATTATTTTCATTTTTTTTTTTTAATAATCGATTTGGTTAATTTTCTGAATACGTTTCCTTATTTTTCAAATAATAAAGACATTTAAATTACTTTAAACTTTCAATACAACATTTCATAAATACAGTATATTTTTATTTAAAAAATTTATAAAAATTTGATTGAGTTTTGTTTTTCAAAAATTTTTCAAGATATTTAGATGACACAGTACTTTTTAGCATATTTTCAAAAAAAATAAAATTTTTTAAAAAGAAATGTATCTGATTTTTTGAAAATTTTTTTGGAGAATTTCTCTAAGCATAAACAAATTTTAAAAAAGAATGTATGGTCATCAGTAAAAGGATGAGCCTCAATATGATATTTGCAGATTGGGAAACTACAATCAAGCATACATTTAATGTTTTCATATCTGGGAAATTTTTTGAAGGGACGTTTTAAGTGACATCAAAAATCCGTATACGTTACTTTGATGGCCATACATTTTCACAAAATCTATTTTTCCTGGGCAAAACTTATTACAGAAGACAGGAGGATTTCTTTGGTAACAAAGAAAATAAATATTGAAATGAAACGTGTCATCTGTTTAGGATCTATAAAAAGCGAATGTTGGATGATAATTTCAAAGATGAAGAAGATAAAAAACAGTAGATGTGGTTCCACAGAAGGATGCTGAATATTATCATGGATTTATACATATTGGGATGGCCAAGGATGCATTTTTAAAAAGCTGGGCAAAGTATTGCAGAGACAGGAGGATTTCTTTTTTTTAACAAAGAAAAGAATGCTGAACTGTTACGTGACATCTGTCGTTCTTTACGGCAGCGAATGTTGGACGATTTCCTCAAAGATGAAGAAGAGACTCAAGGCGACGTAGGTGTGATTCTACGGGAGGATGCAAAGGATATCATGGACCGGGCGTGTGGGAAACGATGAGATCTTAGAGAGGATGCAAACAAGGAGAAGGCTTATACTTAATATCAGGAAGAGGCAGCTGAAGTTTCTGGGACACATAATGAGGAAGGAGGGCCTGGAGAATCTGATACTCACAGGTCGAATAGAGGAAAAAGAGAGACAAGGGAAAAACAACGCATGACATACCTGGCGGGCTTAAGCAAGTGGATGACAGAACGTGGTCTGGGGGAGGAAGCAGAGGGAAGGAACTTGTTGAGGAGCTGCAAGGGATAGAAGGAGGTGGAGAGCCATGATCGCCTACGTCCTGAAAGGACATGGCACATAAAAAAAAAAAAAAAAAATGAAACAATGATGGATGATTCTGAATATTTATGATAAATTATTTTTAAGATTTTTTAGGAAGGAAATTTTTTCAGATCTTCAAAATAGGAAAATATGGAATATTGTTAAATTTATTTTTTTGAAAGGACATGGCATTTGGATTTTAAAAAAAAAGATTTACATTTAAATAAAGCCAATGAATTTTTTAAAAATTTTTAGAAAACTTATTCTTCGATATAAGACCTTTAAATTTATGTTCAAGTAATTTTTCTTCATTTTCCTTTAGGACATGCAAAAAAAAAAAAAATGTTTTTTATAGTGATAAGTTTTTTTAATTTTATTACTTTATATTTATATATATATATATATAAAATATATATATATTGAAATATATTCATATAATATATTTAAATTTTTTCTTTCTTTAAATTATGAAATGTCCATCAATTAAAAATCCTGTTATGTTCTCCAATTTTTTTTGAAAAAATTTGTCATTTAACTTTTTTGAAATAAATTTTAAGGTTTCATTTATTCATAATTTTCCAAATTATGAAAATTTTTTTTTTTTTTTTTTTAAACAGGGATTGTGTTCAAAATTATTTTTCCATTTCAGTTTTTTTTAAAAAAAAACTTTTAAAAATGAAAAAAAATTAATTCTAAAAAAAAAATCCATAAATTTTAATTCTGACAGACTTAGATTTTCAAATTATCACCTTTTTCAAAAAAATTTTTAATTTCTTGAATTTTATCTTAAAATAAATTTAAAATCTAATTATTTTTAAAAATTTTAAAATCAAATTCATGTAAAGAAATTTTTTAAAATTTTCCTGTTCCTTTATTGGTTTTGCGTATTCTGAAAAAACATTCTGAGTGTCTTGTAAAAAAAAAAAAAAAATTTCTTTTTCTTATCTTTTTTTTTTATTTTTTTGTTTTGAAAAATATTTATTTTTGATTTTTCAATTGTCTGTAATAAAAATTTTTGATTGATAAAAATCAAATATTTTATGGATCATTGAATTTATTTTTCTCTCTAAAGACATGGCATCTTTTATCCATAATCAATTAAAAATAATTATATTTGTTATTTTTTTTTGATTCAAAAATTGAAAAATATTGGATTCGATTATTGTTATTAATATTTTTTTTTTATATTTTTTCACAAGAAAATCATTTGAGTTTTAAATTATCGAATAAAAAAAATAAAACTAATTTGATAATTCAAAATTTTTCAAATATTAAGAATTCTTCTTTATTAAAAATTTTTAATTTTTTTTTTATTTTTAAAATGAAAACAAAGATATATATTCGAAAAAGTTCTCAAAAAATTCTATTTCGATTTTTTCGTAAATGTTTTATTTACAAATTTTTTTCAAATTTTTATAAATTTTGACATTCAGGTTCATTCAAAAAATAATTGGAATAAATTTTTCATAAAAAGAAATAATTTTTAAAATATAATATAAATGCTTTAGTCAATGAATTAATTTGGATTCACAAAACGGTTTTTTTTCCTCCGTTTCATTTTAAAAAGAAAAAAATCATACATTTTTTTTTTCCTGCAATCTTTATTCAAAAAATCTTGGATTCAAAATCATTTCCCAAAAAAGAATTTATTTTAACGATTTGATTTGTAATTCATGGAATTTTGTCGATTGAAAAAATTTTTTATCACTAAATTAATTTCAAAATTTTTGTTCTATGGAAATTTTATACATTTATGAATTTTTTAAAAATATTTTTGTGTTTGTGGAACACTTGTAATTGTGATGAAAAAGATTCTGAAATTGTTTGTGTGTTTTCAAACATTAATGTTTTCATGTATTCTTTTTTTTTTTTTATCTGTCTTATGTTTTATTTTTTTCGAAATCTATAATAAAAATCTTTTTATATATCATAAAAAAAAAAATTTCAATTGAAAAAAAATGTCATTTTAAATTATTTTTATATTCAACATTTAATATTAAAAAATTAAAAACGTTTTTTTATTTTTGATAAAATGAAAAAAAAATAAGGAAAAATTAAAATAGTTTTGAAAAATAAAAATAAAAAATTTATTTTTTTTCAATGTTTTTGTGTTTTTTGCTGAAAAAAAAAAAAAAAACTGGAAAAAAGTTGACAAAATTAAAAAAAAAGCTGTTGAAAGAAAAAGAACAAAAATTTTCTTTGATTTGAAGATAATTTTTTTCATTTTTCCATTTTAATTTTTTTATTTGTTTTTTTTTTTTTTATTTTAAATTTTATTTTCCCAATTTATATATATCCTTATATTAATATATATATTTATATATATAAATATATATATATATAAATAAAACAGAGGATGTGTGTGTCTGTCTGTGTGATACCTTTTCATTATTTCAGATCCATCCAACCGATTTTTTTTTTTTGGCAATACATTGTACAATGTAAGAGATAGGTTCTTAGCGTAAAAAAAATCGATAATTTTTTTAAAAATCAATAATCGATAAAGCCGATCAAAAATCGATAAATTCAACTTTTTTTCTCCGATTTCGTTCAAACTTGGTATGTAGGTTACTTACATCATGACGAGCTCAATTGATACCTCATTTTTTTTCTTTTTCATCACTGCGTTAGCGAAAAAAAAAAAAAAAAAAAAAAACAATCGATTTTTCAAAAAAAAACTAAAAAAACTCCCTCAATTTTCAAGCAATCTAATAATAAAACTTCACTCAATTGTAGCCAACAATAAGTTGATTGTTTAACAGTCATTTAACTTGATAATTGAGTCCACCCATATAGTGAAAAGCCGCATAAATAGCGAAAAATGGCGATTTTTACTGTTTTTTTTTCTTATTTTTCGTTGATCTTTTAACCAATTTTCATCAAACTTAACAATTTCTTTATAAATATATCCTCTTTTTACATCCCTGGTATCATACTGAGAAATTGAATTTCGAAAACTCCAAAATAATTGTTGTCTGAAGTGGGTCTTCATGTTGCCTGTTTTATCTCTTCGTGCCCTTAGCTAACTTCGATTGAATAAATACAAACTACTTCTGTTATATCAATAACTGCATTAATTCAAAATGTTTTTTAATGGAAGTACTTTAAAGTAATTGATTGAAAAGATAGACTCTGTTATATCTAAACATGATGCTGTTTTTTAATCCATTCTAATTGAACGATTTTTTTTAGATCGAAAAGACTGCGTATGGCTGCTATTGTATTCTAAAATATCTCTCAAACATTATACTGGTGTCAATATTGCAAGATAATTTATTCATATTCTTAGGGACTTCTAAATATGCATTCTGCTATTTTATTTTATATAATTGTTCCAAGATTAAGGATAAATCATCATGTATCTTAAAAGAATTATCTGGAATTAGAAGGATTTATTACAATTTTTATATGAATGAAAAAATATCAAAATTGATTTAAATCAAAATGCTATCTATTTTCAAATCTAAACACTTTCTAATATATTTTTTTATCTCTTTTCTTTTATCTTCTATCTTTCTCTCTATTTTCTACATTTTCTATCTTTTCTAAATCAAGT